TATCTTTTAAGAGATTTTTAAACATTTGGGTGGGTCACTCCCCCCACATTGAATTCCTTCTTCAAACTACTCTGACCATCATGCTTCCCTGAACATTTTAGAATCAGTTTGTCAAGTTTCCTGAAAACTTGGAAATTTGATTTGAATTCCATTCTTTAAGGTCCACTTCTTGAGAAGCATTGATATCTACACAATCTTGAGCATATGTGTGATCATGATATGTCCTCCTACTTATTTAGATATTCTTTAATATCTTTCAAAAATTTTTATAATTTCTTACACAGAAGCATAACATGCTGATGTATGTATAATATTTAAGAATTGATTGCTTTATAACTTACAGTTTGGATTGCTTTTGTGAATGACAATTTTAAAAATATAAATTTTCTCAAGTTTTGCAGATTGACTAAGGCTTTTCATTTTTTTTCTAATAATTTGTCTATTTTGGAGGCAGGGTTTCTAAGTAGATAATAATCTGCATATAATGTGATTTTTGTCTGCTTCTTTTGGGGTGGAGGTCCAATTCAAGTTGAACAGACACCACGATAGCACATCCCCATTAGGAATGCAATTTGCTACAGATTTCTAGAGCTCTGATTGTCTTAGACCAAGGTAATTCTAGTTTCTTCTTATTTTAGTCCTTCATTTTGTAAAGCATTATTGTTCTTTGTAATTGTATTAATGTTCATAATGGATGATGAATTTTTCCAAAGGCTCTTTTTGGATCTCTTAAAATAATCATATCATTTTCTTCTTTAATCTGTTAAAATATTATGTAGATTTAATACAGCATACATAAATTTTCCAACATTAAACTAACCCTTTTTTCCTGAGATAAAACCCATTTGACTAAGGCATTTTCTCTTGATTTATTTTGCTGAATCTGTTTGCCAATATTTTGTTTAGTTTTTTTGGTCTATGTTTATGAGTGATATTATTCTTTCCTAATCTCTGGAATAGTTTATAAGAGACTGAAATGATCTGTTTCTTCAAAACTGATTAGAATTTGCTTATAAAATCATCTGGGTCTTGGGTCTTCTTTACAGGATGATTTAAAACACTTTTTCAAAACAGTGCTTTAAGACTATGTTTTTTAAAATTCAGTTTATTAAGTATTTAAGTAACTACCTATTTCATATGTTTTCAAACTAATTAACTTAAAGATTTATATTAATCTCTTATCTTCTTAATCACTAAATACTAATTATGCCTTAATTTTATATTATTTTTTCTTATTTCCTCTACTAGATAGACCTTGATATATTTACTTTTAAAGTTTTCAAAGACTCAATGTCTTTGTTATTGATTCTCTTCATTTTATGTCTGCTTTTCATTTTCTTGATTTTTTACTTGTATCTTAATTATTTCCTTTCCTTACTTTAATTGAGCTTACATCACTCTTTTTCTAACTCTTTAACTTAGATCCTTCTTTATTATGATTTTGAAAGTTTTTGATATAAATAAAAACTTCAAGGCTGAGGTCAATACTTCTTTAAAGAAAATCTTAGGGGCTGGGGATATAGCTCAGTGGTGGAGTACCTGTGCCTAGCATGAATGAGGCCATAGATTCAATTCCCAATACTATTAAATGAATACATAAATAAATAAATTCAAAACAGTGTTGAAATACCCATATTTAAAAAAAGAATCCTAGGAACTAGGTGTGTAGCTCACTGTTGTAGCACATGCTTAGCATATACAAGGGCCTAAGTTCAATCCACAGACCTAGATAAAAATGTCCAATGTGTATCTCATTAGGATTGGCTTTGCTAATTTTTTATTTTATTTATTTATTTTTAAATTTACTTTGGTACTGGGCATTGGACCTAGAGGCTCTTCACCATTGAACCACATCCCAGCCCTTTTAAAAAATATTAAAAGACAGGGTCTCATTAGGGCTTTCAACTCTCAATCCTCCTGCGTCAGCCTCCCAAATTGCTGGGATTACAGGCGTGTGCCACCACGCCCAGCAGGTTTTTCAGATTAATGCCTGGTCTGACGGCTGTACTATAGCCAAAATATTGGGCTTTGGAACCCTGACTCCTGAGCAATGAAGAATACCTCTAACGCTTAATTCCTCTGTAACCTGAGGTATATTTCACATTTATGAAGGTCTCAGTTTTTTTATTGATCAATTTTTACCAAATTTATATGCAGTAGCCATTAAGTGAGAGAATGAATATAAAGAGTTCAGGACTGCTGCTGACATAGTGATGCTCAAATAACAGGAATTATAGGTATTTGCAAAGGTGAAATATAGATCAAAAAAACCTGATTGTATCAGTTTAGGTATTTGCAAAGGTGACTATAGGTATTTGCAAAAGTAAAATATAGATCAAAAAAACCTGATTGTATCAGTTTCTATTTCCTAAAAGTTGCACTGAAATCTGTTTGAATGTTGATATTAGTATAAAACTTTGTGATACAAAATGATTGGAAAATATTATTAAGATACAAAACTTATATAACTTAACTTGATTTACTTTCAAATAGTTGTTTAAAATGCCTGTCCAGAGAGCTGTGATATTGCTTTGCTAAAAGTCTTTGCAGATTTCCAAATGTCTCAAAGCTTTTGAGTTTTCCCAAAGGAATAACATAAATTTTGAAGAGAATTAATATATTGCAAGTCTAATTTCGAACCTACCAAATAATGATATCATAGCTCAATATTGTGGGAACATATCTTGGCAGGATGGCTTATTTTGTATAAAATGGCAATTGGATTTCCTTTGATTTTTTTGTAGTTTATATAAAACACTGTCTAACAATAAATTCACTTGTGCTCAGCCACCCATTCAACTTCATTTTCCCCCCTCAGTGAATAAAGTTACTTCCTCTTGTGGAAGAATTTAATAAAACATTTGAATAAAATAATCCTTTGATTCAGCTAGGAAAGAAGAAAGCACGTGTGTCTCATACAAAAGTCCAAAGCACTTCAGAATAAAAGTAATTTATTTCCTGAGGGTCTTTGATTTTGATTTTTAAGCATAAGGTGTTGGGTAACTATAATAGATTGGGATACAATATTTGCATGCCATATATCTAAAAAAGGGTTAATATCACAAATGTATAAAACCTACTCGACTTAATAGTAAAACAAAAACAAAACAATAAGCTCATTAAAAGTAGGCAAAAGACTGAATACACATTTCTCCAAAGAAGACATATACATGGCCAAAAGGCACATGAAAAGATGCCCAGCATCACTAATCATAAGGGAAGATGCACATTAAAACCACATGAGATATCACTTCATACCTGTGGCTATTATGCAAAAGACCAGAGATGATGGGCATTGATGATAATATGGAGAAAAGGGAACATGTACCCTGTTAATAGGAATTACTACAGCTACCATGGAAAGCAGTATGGAGGTTCCTCAAAGAATTAAAAGCAGCGCTATCATATAAGCTATCTGGCAATCCCACCACTGGGTATATATTCCAAAAAATAAAAATAAAATCAGCAAGTCAAAGAGATATCTGTACCCCAATGGTTACTTCAAAGCAAATACTCATCAACGCACGAATGGATAAAGAAAACATGATATGTGTTCCAGGACACCTGAAGGATACCCCAATCCAGAGATGCTCAATTCCCTTATAAAAAAATGGCATAATATGGGATGGGGTTGTAGCTCAGTGGTACAGTGCTTATCTAGCCTGTGGGAGGCAGTAGGTTTGATCCTCAGCACCACATAAAAATAAATAAATAAAATAAAGGTATTGTGTCCATCTACAACTAAAAATATATATTTAAAATGGCATAGTATTTTAATATAACCTATGTACAACCTCTTATATTTTAAATCATTTGTAGACTACTTATAATACCTAATAAAATATAAATGTTGTGTAAAAGTTCTTATAAAGTCTATATATGTTCAGTACAGATGTAATCATTGTGAGGTTAGCTTTAGTTTTAATCCTCTGTTGGTTGAATCAATGGATACAGAGGGCTGATGGTGTATATAATGGAAGACTATTGAGCTCTAAAACAGAAGGAAATCCTGATATTTGCTGCAATATGAGTGAAGCAGGAGGGCATTATGCTAAGAAAAACAAGGTCTCCACAAAGGGACAGGCACTGCTGTGTATGGTCTCATTTACACATGGAGTCAATAGTCAAACTTAATTATTTATTAAGAAATAGTAGAATAAGGGTTGCCAGGGGCAAGGGAGAAGGAGAGAAAATGAGGAGACATTGGTCAAGGGGTACAGAGTTTCAATGTCAAAGACGAAACCATTTCCAGGTCAAGACGAATACCATTTCCAGGTCAAGATGAATACCATTCTGGAGACAGAATGTACCACAGAGAGGGTGAAAATAGTTAATACAGCATTCTGCATTGTATATTTGAAATGTGCTGAGAAGGTAGGACTGAAGTGTTCTCAGCTCATACAGAGAAAATGGTAACTATGTGAGGTGATGGATGTGTTCATTAGCTTGTTTGTGACTGTCATTTTACAATAGTTATGCATATAAAAATATTGTCTATACCTTGAATATATATATATATAAAATATATATAATATATATATATATTTGCTTAAAAAAGTGGGGGAGGGGAAGAAGAAGAAAGAATGCTTTTAGCAGAGTCCCTGGAATGCTCCCTGGCAGATCCTGCCCCATCCCCTTCTAACTCCACCGTGAAACCACTCCCCACCTCCTCACTGGGTGACATCAGCAGAGGAGGCGCTGCCTCAGAAGATCTTAGGGCTGAGGGGCAGCCATACAGTTCTTTCACTCCGAGGACCACAAAAATCCCAAAAGTTTCTTAGCTAACACCCTTTAAAAAAATTGAGGCCTGTGGAAAACCTACGCGCGGAAAGTCGGTTTCTATTTCAGCTGTGTATCAGTTAAGATGGAAAATTTTTAGAGTCCACACAGATGGTAAATAAATTTCTGCTACATGAGGCAGTTCCTGGAATAAAGCAATTTTCTCAAATAACAAGTGCCAACTTATTTTTTCAGCAGGACTTATTTTTAACTTTCCCAGGGAAGGATTGAGAGACTAGGAGCGGTATCCTGCACCTTAAGAATCTGATGTTGCCTTCAAGAAGAGACTAGCGCTGTTCTCACTACAGAGTGACACGTATGTTCACGCACATATGTCGGCTGAATGAAGGGAATGTTTGTTCATTTCCATGGGGGAGGGGAAGGAGTCGTGGCAGTGAGAAGACGGAAATTTTGCAGAAATATTTATATTTTCATCCAATGTTTAGTTTTCTCTAACTTACTCCAAACAGTATGAAATTGACTCATATTTTTGCTTAGGAATTCATTAAATCTTGGACAAATGACCATAAATCTTTGAGAATTCTTTACACACTGTGAGACTTGGCTTGTGTCCCCAGATATCTTTAGCAATGGTCCTCTGGGACACAGCTGAAACCCCTTAATGCTTTGCTGGGTCATGCTTCATTGGGAAGAACCCTCCTGAGTTGCATTTGGCAGGGAATGCTAGCACCTTAAACCAAACGATTCTATTTGCCAACTTAGGGTGATTCAAGCATTCCTTCCAGTAGCAGGGATTCCTTACTCATAAGAAAGACAGAAATTGATTATTAAATGATTAAATCATGTTATAACCACTAATGATTTTAAAGAGTGTATTGCAGAAGAGGGTTAAGTAAGTACATCACCCTTAAAAATTTATTTTCTTTCTTTCTACTTCCCTTCCTCCATCCTTCTCTCCTCCTTTTAGATTTGGGAAAACATTTCATTCAGCACCACGGATAATCTATCAACAAATAAATATTTACTGAGGGCCTGAATACTAGTCACTATACAAATAAGAAAAAAAAGGAAAAAAATCTATCTTAGCTTAAAAAGGTTTATGGTTCAAGAGACGAATATGAAGGAATTATAGCCAGACTCTGATTTTGACCATTAGTGTGCAGACTAGAGACAACATGCTAACCTGAAAAGTCAAGAGAGATGTCCAATCATTTGGGATTGATGAGTGAATGAACTATATAAAAATAGAAAGACACATTTTCAGTAGAGAAGTTTTGAATCCCTTTTTAAATGAAACTGTTATAACATGTCAGTTGTTCTGACAACTTTTGTGGTGGTGGGACAAATTCTTAGACCTGAGTGTAAACACTGATAAATAAAAAACTCTGATTACTAAGACAGCAAACATAATTTGCTATCAAATCTATGGGAATGAGAGATGTGAACTGCTGAGAGGGCCATAAATCTTTCCTAACAATACCCTCCTTGGAGACAAGCTTAAGAAGGCAGGTGACTTGCTCTAGGTCCTAGATGTTTTCAGAGCTGGGAGGAGAACAACACTCTTCCATAAGATAGCTTTGTCTGTTCATAACAGACATGGCTATCTTATAAACAATGATAAAATGTCATTCTTCTACATGAAGTGTGGGAAAAGTTTTAAACCTGACTTACTGATAAGTAAGGTCTTTGAGATTGCTATGTTTGAAACTACGTGTCCTCTCCAAATTTCATATGTTGAAACCTAATCCTCAATGGGTTAGTATTAGGAGAAAGGTATTTTGAGAAGTGGTTAGGTTATGAAAGAAAAGTCCTCATGAATAAGATTAATGTCCTTCAAAAAAAGGCCCAAGAAAGATCCCTTCCATTATATGAGAACTAAGTCCTCATACAGGTGCCATCCATAAACCAGGAAATAAGACCTCACCAGCCATTGAATCTGATGGCATCTTGGTCTTGGACTTTCCAGCCTACCAAACCATGAGGAGTAAATCTCTGTTCTTTGTAAGTTACTCAGTGTGTGGTATTTTGTTACAGCATCCTGAATGAACTAAGACAAAAATCATCTATATTTTTATAGCTTTATTTGATTACTAAATTTCCCATGATTTCATACTAACTCAAAGTATAAGCATTTATAGTCAAAAAAGATCAAATTACAACTTTAATTTTTTTTCATAATATCTTTATTTTACATTTATATGATGCTGAGGATTGAATCCAGTGCCTCAAGCATGCTAGGTGAGCGCTCTACCACTGAGCCAGAACTCCAGCCTCAACTTTAATTTTTAAAAGGAATAAATTTATAAATAATTTTTCTTTCTTTCCTTAAACAAATTGTATATCAGGACTGAAAATAGCCTTTTAAAAAAGGTCTAAAAAAGGTAAAATACCCTTCTTTAAAAAGTGTGTTCTTGGGCTGGGGACATAGCTCAATTGGTGAGCTATGAGTGCTTATCTCTCAGGCACAAGGCTCTGTGTTCAATCCCCAGCACCACACACACACACACACACACACACACACACAATTGTGTTCTATGAGATACATAGGTCTTAAAAATTAAGTTACTTTCTTTGGAGAAAACTTTGATTTTTAATTTTGGTTCAAGAGGACTTTAGTTTGCTGATTTTGAAGATCCCCTGAAATGCCATATTTCTATCAGGGCTTTGACTACACATAATGGTTAAAATAATGAATTTCTTATTATTCTTAGCATGTGCCTAGAAGCCATGGGTATTTTTGGATTTAGTGAATTGAAGAGAAAGACCTAACCATAACTACAGAATCTTTTCCAGTAATGGGTAGACTCCTTGATGTGATTCAGCTCTGAGGTGAACTGGAGGAAATACACACCCTGAGACTGATACCCAAGTCTTGGAAGAGCAAACTGGGATGTAGATATATCTGGTCAAAACAAAGCCTCAGTGATTGACAAGTAATGGATATGTGGCATCCAGAACTGAATTTGCTATATGAAGAAAATCATGGGTTTCACTTGGAAAATTAAGTAGAGATGAATGAAACTGTGCATACTCTGAAAAGCATACCTAAGCTTCTACCATTTCCTTCATTCTGGTGATTTCTGTTGGTCCTACACACCAGAATCATTACTTCATAGCCAGTTCTCACTGAATGAGAAATGAGTGTTGCTAAACTTCCACAAGTTAATTAGTTCACCATTTCCTTGGGAATATGAAAAGTGAGTTGGTTGCCTCTTAAAGCAAAAAGGAGCTTTGGAGAAGAATTGTAATGGTAATGAGGCAAATATGTTCACTTTAAGGCAAAACACATTTTACATTTCTTGAACTTAAAGTAGAATAAATAAATAATTGTTTCAATATTTCTAAATTGAATACTAATTAGTATCACTTATCACTGTGAATACTAGTTCTTCATGGCTTTCCGGGCACAACCAGCTATAATGGTTTTCATGATGTTTTAAAGCATTCTATCAATTATCTAAAGTTTAATCTTCTTTATCAAAAATGTTGGATTAAGGTTTTTCAAAATATTAGAAAAATTGGAAACATAAGGAAAAGAGTTCTGAAAGTTTGAACAGAATTTTCTCATGCCACTAAGAAGCTTAACTTTAGGTGAGGAGATAAGACATATTTTCATCTTTACATATAGGTACAGCACAATTCTTTTTAACATGGCTAATACATAAGTAAACCATGTAATTTGGAATTCTTTAGAGATGCAGATGTGGGGCACACCAGGCAGGATGTGGGGACAATGGCATGAACCATCGTGGTCCAGACAAAGTAGGATGAACAATCATCATTAAAAAGGAGCATGGAGCATAATTTAGAGTTCAGAATTTATGAGTGCTTTTCTACAAGTTTTTCTTTTTAAGAGGATGGTAGTAACTGATCCATCTTTGAATATCTAGCAACTAAAAAAAAAAAGCTCAATGAAGAAAGGAGTAAATAAATTAAACATGAATATATTTTATGGAAATAATTATAATTTTAATGTAGGATACATCCCTTTACATATGTGAAATTAAAGAAGAAGATTAAAATCTTAGAGTCAAGGACAGCATAGTGAACGTTATCCTTTTCATACATACACAGCAAGGGAAATTATGCTTTTCTCCCACATCAACTTTACTGAAAATAGAGAAGTTTTGTGGTCAACTGTGAATGAGAAAATACAGATTCATTCACCCATTCACCCACTCATCCACCAATCCATCCATCCATCTGCTAGACTACTTCTTATCTTCTTATTTCTCCAATGTGTTTATATATATATATATATATATATATATATATATATATATATATATATATATATATATATATCACTGAGGCTACACAGAGGAAACATACAATCCTCAATGAGCATATACAGCTGCCACATCAAAGCCTCAGTTATATCCCCAAATGAGAAGAAAATAAAATTAGCCTTTATTCATTTTACTTCATGTTACATCTTCTGGGAGAGAAGTTGAATAATGCAGCTTTGGGAAGAGTCACAAGAGTTACGTACTAAGTGCTTCAGTTAGGTAACTAGGTGTCCAACATGACTACTCAGAGTCTCTAAGAGTCTGTAGGAGTCTGAGAACATGGCTGTATAGTATGCTTTTGTAGGATTCTGCTATAGAAGTGAGAACAAGGTTCGTTTGGTGTGTGTGTGTGGTTAATTTTTTTTTTTTGTACCAGGGATTTAATTCAGAGGCACTTGACCACTGAGCCATGTCCCCATATCTATTTTGTATTTTATTTAGAGACAGGGTCTCGAAAGTTGCTTATAGCCTCACTTTTGCGGAGGCTGGCTTTGAACTTGCAATCCTCCTGCTTCAGACTTCTGAATCGCTGGATTTACAGGCATGTGCCACACACCCCATGAGGTTCAAATTTTTAATAAAGACTAATTATACAGACTAAAATATTAGCTGGGGAATATTATCAAAATCTGATTAAAAACAAAAGATGGATTAACTTTGTTATGAGTGAAATAAGATGATGATGATTTCTTAGGAAGATTAAATCAGTCTGTACTGTGCAGAATGAACTGGAATAAGAGTAAATACTTAGCTGGGTGCAATGGTAGATGCCTACAATCCCAGTGGTTTGGGAGGCTGAGGCAGGAGGATTGCGAGTTCAAAGCCAGCCTCAGCAAAGGTGAGGTGCTAAGCAACTCAGTGAGACCCTGTCTCTAAATAAAATACAAAATAGGGCTGGGGATGTGGCTGCTTAACAAACTTGATGGCCTAAAACAACAGGAATATTTTCTGTTGCTCTCAAAAGGAATAAAGTTATGCTTTCTTGTGTGATGAATTTTATGATTCTAAGAAGAAAGAAATTATGTGGCTCAGTGGTTGAGTGCCCCTGAGTTCAATCCCCAATACC